GTATGTATGTATGTATGTATGTATGTATGTATGTATGTATGTATGTATGTATGTATGTATGTATGCATAGGTAGACCAAAGAGACGATCCTAATCTCGTTGAGAAATGCACATGCAGAAACAGAATCAGCCAACTAGGCGGAAGCTCCACCAACCTGATCGGATTCTTGTTAAGGTGGCTCCGCTATGCATACTTGCTGGTCATATGCAAATTTTAAAGCATTTGCTACTCCTCCGTAAAAATAACACATAGACAAAAGTCTAAAATGTAATTTTAGACTAAAAATCAATATGGTTTATTTTAGCGATGTAAGACGTGGAATGTGCTTCGTAGAGAGAACGACAAAGTTTCGTAGAAATTTCCATATTTCTTTGGCAGTTTATGTCGGTCTAAGTCACCTCAGTTCTGTGAGTGATCATTTTCTCCTATTTTTCTGTATTACCTAATGATCCTAATCGAATCCCCTGTCCGCTCATTGGAGATGAGGAGGATGAATAAAATATTTTACCATTCAACATGGAAAAAGTTTAGTTGGTATATCAACGCACGACGCAGTCCACTTGTGATGGGACTATTTTGGCTGGAATTTCCAACTGTCAAAATTTTTCCTCTCATAGGAACAACTGGGGGTCCGATGATTCATCTACCCACGTTTTCGGTCCTATGTGGAAGGCCAGAGCTTGTCATTTTCCTCGCCTCACGTTTAAGGTGGCGTGCGGGGAGGAAGAGAGGGTTCGCGTCCAGCTGCCTACGCTTCGTTACAGTCAGTCGTCGCTGACCGTTGACTCGGCCTCGCTATACGATTGCTCGTCCCGAGCAACATGTGCTGTTTCAACGATGTAGTCGTTCAATGCCTGCGGCGTACGACGGATACTGAAGCTCAGTTGGAGCGTACGGTCGGTTATTCGCTCTTCAAGACATTTGCTCGACTCAGTTTCAAGTTCTCCTTGTGGCTCCTTCGTCCATTGAGTGCCCGTTCCTCCATGCATAGAGAGGATCTTTTCTTCTGAAATGGAGAGCTCGTATGCTTTGTCCGCCCCTTGCCATTCGCAAAGCATAACGGCTCTTGTCCAAGGTTCGTGACTGGAACCTAGAAAGTCTCCCTCTTGGCATATACAGCCCTCTTGATGTCGCCCATTCTCGGCTAAGAAAAATTCTCTAGGACCACCGTCGCATCTATCGCACATGTTAATTGCCCTGGCACAAAACCGGTTGTCCCCTCAGCCATCGTTGGGCATTCGTTTATTACTACCTCTTCGATGACTCCGGTTCGTGCTCCATCATTGGCCACTGATCCTGAAGACACAAGGAACTCACCTTGGCCTTTCTCAGGATCTGAATCATGCCATGTATCCACTGCATCCGTGTGTTTCAATAGTTCTTAACGTCTGTTGCTTGGGTCGGCCTCCACAGTAACGCTCATCTTTCCCTTCGCTAATCGCTAGAAGATGGGTACCTTCCTTACCTATCGATATCATCACCTCCTCCGCCTCCCCACAGCCGCCACCTAATCGATCCCAATGATAAC